CTAACATGGCGACGTCTAGTGAGAAAAGTGATGTCATAGAAAAAATATATCAATATAAAGGAGAGTTATATAAAATAATAGAAAATGCTGATTTTCATACTCGTCTTCAATCAGGTATGTAAGAATAATAATAAATTTTATTATTCGAAATAATTTAATGTAATATATTTATTATTATTAATAATCTAACCTCTCTTTTTGTAATATACTTGCATGTATTACTGACATTACTGGCATAAAAAATATTTTGATTTATTGTTTTGTTATTACTAGTATAATATCTGTAAAGGCTTAAACTAATGGCTGACTTAATGGTTAAAAACAATTATGCCTTAAAATAAAAATGTAAGGCATATTTGTTTTTAAGTATTAAATCATATGTTTATCTTTACTTAATTTGAAGGAAAAACAAAGACAGAGATATAATTTAACTATCAATTAACTTACCAAGAAGTTGGAACAATCGATCCTTAAACCTTAATCATATATATTATTTTGTTAACATTTACAAGAAATATTTATAAGTGTAAGAAATACTTATACATACTTATACATGTAAAAATATTAAATTAACAATAATTAAACTGTATTACACATTGTCGTAAGTTCACAAGATAGCTATTCTGCTTAGGTCCTGTATGAACGTATAGATTTCCTGTAATAACATAACATAACTTTATAATGCAATGTTGTTTTATAAATTATTCGTAAGTATTTCAAATTTAATTTTCTGTCAAACTACTCTTAACTTAACCTTATCCGCTTTTATTTTAAAGTAATACATTAGAAGTAGCCATCTTTACTAGTAGCGATATCACAAATGAATCCAGTAGAAAATTCATAGCGGAGTTCGATCCATCGGAAACAGATGTCTCAACTGTTGAGTCTACTGAATGCAGCCTATCTCGAAACGGAGTAAAAATTATAAAAGTGAGCAAATTCACTAGGTATTATCCAATGAAATTATAAATATGCTAGTAAATTTGCCCACTTTTGTCATTTTCACTCCGATTTGAGATACACAATCGACCCCCAGAACGATGTTCCCCAGAGTCGGCAGCATCTAAAGGTCCTGAAGGTGCCGATCCACGTAAGCCACGAGAGCGCCATCCAGGGGTACAAAGAGCAATCGCGCGGTGGACGACCACTGGTAAGTCATTATCTACATTGTTTCTATACGCGCGAAATTACGATTAACGCCTGCGACTGTTCGACCCACCGTAAGGTTATTACTGTGGTTTTTTTTCTTTTTTTTTTTATTGAAATAAAAAGTGTACAATAAAAGTGTACAGGTCTAGGTACTAGCCTATCCGACCTCTAGATTACATACTTAAGATAAATAACATGTTTTCTCTAGAATTTTATACAATACAATATATCTATTACTGTGTTATACAATATATGAACTTAAGATCTAAATTTGGTTATTTATGGAATATTAAAACAAAATAAACATGGTCGCCTTAATTATTTAAACATCAAATATCAAGTATGGAATTCTTGGTTATTTAATTGACATCTTTGAGTAACTAAATAATTCCACCTCCTCGGTTAGGCGACAGTTTCCCGAAAAGTGGAGGGGATAATGTTGATACCAAGGAAAATCTCTACACGATATAATTTAAAGATTCTATTCTTTGTAACTGCACTGCTAAATTGGTGCAATAAATTGAAATAAGGCAAGTATACGTTTTCTCACTCTAACCTTTTGTATTAGTTCAGCAGTGCAGTTACAAAAAACAGATCTTTAAATTATATCGTGTAGAGATTTCTCTTGGTACCAACATTATCTCCACCACTTTTCGGGAAACTGTCGCCTAACCCATCTCCTCTGGTTTAAATATTTATGCCAATATTTGAAATAAAGTTTCCTAAGAGAGAATAACTGAATAGGTTCAATGAGGTCAGGATCGACTGCACCGGCCAAGGCAGACCCTTATAGAAATATCATACTAAGAATTATTGATAATTACTTATTTTCAGTATTAAAAATACTGGATAATAAGTAATTATCAATGATTCTTAGTATGATATTTCTATAAGGGGAGTTATAAAGCTTAACATTCCTTTCTCCATGAATTTTTTTCTTTGTTTATTAAAACGTGGACATTACTAGACTATATGGTCCGGACTCTCCGTAACATGACACGAGGGACAGTCAGGAGAATTCACAATGTTAAATCTGAATAAAGAGTTATTTAATGAAGTACTCTTATAGAAATATCATACTAAGAATCATTGATAATTACTTATTTTCAGTATTAAAAATACTGGATAATAAGTAATTATCAATGATTCTTAGTATATTTCTATAAGGGTATGGCCTGGTCTCAATCTACATAAGGAAACGATCTCTCTCCTACCCTTATAGAAATATCATACTAAGAAATACTGAAAAATTATTAGTGATTAAATATTACCAGTAATTCAGTAATTTTTTGGCCAGTACTTAATTTCTGGTGAATACTGATAATAAAATCACTGTTAAATATTGATAGTAATCAAATACTGAGAATTATTATGCGAAGGTGAAAAATGAGAAAATCATAATGTTTACAAAAATATACTTATATTCCTAATTTTCTCATGTCTCATAAACTCTACTAGATATCGAAGGTTGTCAATACATTCCAAATTTTCAATGAATCCTCCTGCAATAATTTCGATCCCAAGCGGATATTAATACCGCTGGCCACCCATGTCCTGACCGCATTAAACTGTTGCTTAACCTGACGATCGGCACGCACGCGGTGATTCTGATGACTCCAACGATGTTCTTACAATTCATGCTTATATAATGTATCCTTATATTGTTCACAGTATATTATAACATACCTAGCAAACACCAAATAATAGTTATATAATTTTTACTTGTTGTTTATTGGTTTATTGATAGATATTGAAACAATGTAATATTCGACATGCGATAAATATTGATGTAATGTAGTGAACCAGTGATAATTACTTTTACATTTTTAACAAAATGTTATAATGATTAATCCTACAAAAAAAAATTAAAAATCCAAGAAAATCCAAATTAAACAAATCGAATTACTAAATTTTGAGAGAAACTTTTAAAAAATATTATTTAAAACAATAGTGTTGTTTCATGAAATGACATGGTTTCCTTGAACGAAATAAAAGTTTTATTTTCATGATTTTAAAAAATGATATTTCGTCATTTTACGTCATTTTGACGTGAGTCTGTTACTTGGGCTGATTCTTGTGTCGTTCACCTTATCTACTGCGTCACTATCACTTTGATTGAGAGATGCTTTATATTGTATACGTATGGTATATTCATATACGAAAGTATATGATTTATTTAAAAGAAGAGA